TTCTTAATTAACTCTTAATTGAAAAGCAGGGAAACCCTCTATTCAGATGTGATTAGAAGTTTACTTATGAGGAATTGTCAAATGGTAGGGTTAAAGGGTTCACGGTAAGGCTGGAATTGGCAAATGCCTGACATCTGGCAGAGAGAGGTTAAGAAACTGTTACAGAAGTTGAACTGAGAAAACCAAAGGAAGACATGTTTGCTGTGCACTGTTTGTATTTTAGAGCGAGGCAAAAGAGCTGCCTGGGATTGGATGCTAAGAAACATTGGTTTTTGTTTTATTTTAGACAGCATCTCACCATGTAGGCCTAACTGGCCTGGAACTCACCCTGTAGACCAGGCTGGTCAGAAAACTGCTGCCTCTGCCTTCCAAGTGCTGGGATTAAAGACAGGAGCCACCATGCCCAGTTACATAGTTTCGTCCTGGTGTTCCCTATATTTTCTGAATTAGGAGCTTCCGGTGTATTTTGAACACTTGGTGATTAGTTCAGTTTGGGGATTTTTATGAATGATTTCTGCAAATGTGATCAAGAAATACTTAACTGGTAGGTGTGGAAAGACAGCTTAACAACGCAGGCGAGCATTTAGGTCAGTGCTGTGTGCTAATGCTGACTTTCTGAAGTAAATGCAAGCACATGCACTGTAATCCAGATTTCTTTAGCCAAGCTATTCTTGACTACCACCTGTATGTAGTGGTTTGTTTAATAGCTTTTTGTCGCATAGAATTCTGTCTTGTGTATAACATCGGGGCTGCCTTGTTTGATTTGATTGTCAGTAGTCACATTTGGCTATTTTAATATGAATTAATTAGATTTGATTTCAAATTCAGATTTTCTTTTTCAATAGCCAATGCATTTCAAGTTCTCCACCACATTTTAGCCATTGGCTGCTGTTTCTTTTAACATTTGCATTGTCTTACAGGACACCTTTGCACTAGGACCTTAAGTGGTGGCTGGCATATAAAGGGCATAAACAAATATTTGTCAGTGTGACCTGAGCCCTACAGGATGAACAGAATTTTTTTTTTTTTTTTTTTTTTTGGTTTTTCAAGACAGGGTTTCTCTGTGTAGCTTTGGAGCCTATCCTGGCACTCGCTCTGGATACCAGGCTGGCCTCAAACTCACAGAGATCCGCCTGCTTCTGCCTCCCGAGTGCTAAGATTAAAGGCGTGTGCCACCAACGCCTGGCCAGAATTTTTTAAAGCATTTAAATGTTAGTGTTTTCTGTGTATGGGTATTTTGCCTGCATTGTGCCTGGTGCCCATGGATACCAGAAAGGGGCTTGGAACTGGAGTTGCAGATGTGGATCAGCAAGCAGGCTCTGGTCCTTGAATCCCAGTCCTCTACAAGAGCAGCCAGTGAGCCATGTCTGAAGATGAACAGATTCTTTAAAAGAAATAGGAGAACATTGCTTATTCTCTTTCCTTTATCCACAGATATTGATTGGTCAGCATGAGTTGCTACACTTCATATTCTACATGCTTACACACCAAAGTACTATTTCCAGGGATAGGAATGTGGCGAAGTGGTAGTGCAACTTCCTAGCATGCTGCAGGCCATGGGTTAATCCTGACAGTAAAAAAGAAAAAGTCCAAAACTTTCACCATTGATAAAGGGAAGAGATGTTTAACCTGGCTATCAATAAAGGTTTATGATTGCACTTTCAAAATCCCATTGTGTATGATGTATAAAATTAGTAGTGCATGTTGACAGTACACAATATAATTTCTGCTCATAACCTAACAGTAACAATTGTCTGAACTCATAATCCGTTAAATAACTGATATGATCATAGCATTCCACACCAACCGTTATATATTAGAGCATGTGTAACATCTCAGTGTATTGGCTCAGAGATGCTGTCTTCACCCCTATGTCTAGTGCATCACACTTGCATAGAATTTTTTGAAGATTTTTATTTATGTTTATATATTTGTGTGCCTCTGTAAATATATATGCATTTATGTGCAACTGCCTGTGGAGGCCAGGAGAAGGCATTAGATCCCCTGGAATTGGAGTTACAGGTGGTTGAGAGCTGCCCAATATGAGTACTCAGGTCCAACGCAAGAAGAGCAAATGTGCTCAACTGCTAAGCCATTTCTCCAGCCCTTCCTATAGAACTTTTTAAAAAATTTTAGTTTTCCTATGGGTCATTAATAATCTCATTTAAAAGATAACAGTATATTGGGTTTTGAGGTGTTCTTTTTGTGGTTCATATTGATTTTAAGTTGCTTGTGTTCTTATTACTGACTGATACAAAGCAGCCTAGGTTACTTATTTATTTACAGAAGCAATGTTTCTCTGTGTGGTCCATGATGGCCTCAAGCTCACAGATGGCTGCTTCCTCTTGAGTACTGGGATTGCAGGTGTGTGCAACCACACTGGCCAAAACACTCTTGAGCTAATGTTGGATTTATATTTAGACACCTAGTAATATTTTTGACCCACTGTTTTTGTAAAATTACTCCATTTCAGTTTCTTGTACTGTGATAATCAGGAATTATGGAGCAGAGTTCCTGAAAACATCCACACCTTCTACTGGAACTTCTTCAAGACTGGCTAACTTCTGTGGTTGTTGGGAGGTTTGAATGTTGCAGGTCTAGACCCAATCACAGTATCTCTTGGGCTATCTTCAGTACCTTAATGGCCATTCCGTGCCCACCTCTGTATCTGACACAACATCCTTGTTACTAATAGATTAAAACAGTAGAAGTGTATTAACAGACTTCCACCAACCATAAGGCTAAGAATATCAGAAAATAAACGAGAGTCTTATAGCAGAGATTTCCTCCTTTTGCCTTAATCTTTGACATCTACCTAATATTCCCACCATGTATTGAAAAGTGATTTAATTTATGATACTCTTTGTTCTGTTGCTTTAAAAACTTCAAACTCTAACCACATTGGAATATGAAATTTGGGGTAACCTACCTAAATATGTGTTCCTGGGCCATGATCACTTGTACTTGGCTCCAGAATAAACTATGTTTTAACCCCTTTAAGGTGAGTGTTGTGGTTTTTATGTGTAACATGAATAATAAAAACCCAGTGACAGATATTGGTGTTCAAGCTTCAAGCTGAAAGATCAGAGCCAGCTGGCCACTAGCTCTTAACTCTGCCTCAGGATGAAAGGGCTGTCTCAGTTCCTCACTGTTCCTCAGTGTAGCTGGAGACTAATTCCCAAATGTGGCTGGAGACCAAACTGCTCCAGACTGAATATCTGTTCCTATTTTATATACCTCAAGTAATGGGATTAAAGGCTTGGTGATCCCAAGTGCTGAGATCACCTTTGTGTGAGCTGTTTCTCTTTTAGACTGGATCAGTTTCATGTATCTCAATGTCTCATTGTGGCCTTGAACTAGCAGAGGTCCATCTGCTTGTCTCTTGAATCCTGGGATTAAAAGTCTGGCTGTGTGGCTTGTGGCTAGCTTTGTATTCTGAGCCCTCAGGCAAGCTTTAATAAATCTTAAATAATATATCACCACATTTATGCTTACACAATAAATGAATTTTCCTTTTCAAATGGCACCAGCATCATGAAAATAAGTATATTATTTGCTGTTTTACCAAAGAGCTGTGTTTATATCAACAAAAACAAAATTTTCAAAAACCGTTTTGGGCAGTGATAAAGAGAATGTGGTTATACTGACCTGAGACAGGTGAGTAGTGTGTTGTGAGGGAAGTAGTAATGGTTTGACAGTATTTTGGAAGCACTGCTCTGTGTGAGTGGACTATGTTCCCAAGCTTTGAAAACCCTGCTTTACACCTTTCTAGAATAACCACTGCCGACTGGGACTTCCAAGCGTCTTCAACAATGAAGCCATCTTTGTGTAGATCTTAGGTAGGGCTCTGTATAAATCAAGTTGCAGTCTTCTCAGATGTTAAACAAGCAGCTACAGGAAGAACTAAATGGCAGTGGAGAGATGGACCCTCAGGAATAGAGTGTAATGTTCAGTTCTCAGCAGCCACAGTGGTTCACTTTGGCCTCCCTTCCCAGGTATCTGCACTCCTGTGCACAAACCCACATATTCGGGCACACACATACCCCTCATTTACCACTTGTGCTGGTGGTGGGACTTGGGAGAATGGAGCTGATAAATGAAGTGGACTAAAGTTTCATTCAGTAACCAACTTTATTCAGAGTATCAAATAATTTCTTCTCTGATGGTTAGGAGGAGTAAAGTGTCCAATCACAAAAGGAAGCTGCTTGTGATGGACAGGCTGCCAGTGGCAGAGCAGGTTTTTCCATACAGGCATATAAACAAATAACAATAGCCAGTCGTAATGGATAATCTAAAGTAAACTCACTCCTATCCACTACACCTTGGAAGAGCATGAAATATATAATCCAAGATCAATTCTGGTTTGTGAAGAAACTGAGATCACAGGACTCTTACCATTTTTTTTTTTTTTTTTGAGTTTTCTCACAAGCAATCAGAATTCTCCTCACATGACTCCATTCTTGGACCCCTAGTTTAGTTAAACATAAGACTCTCCTAATTAAAAATAAAAAAGCAAATCTAACAGTGTATACATTCAAGCATGCACACATACAGAGACATGAACACATTATAAATACATAACATGCTTTTAGCCTTTAAGTGACTTACTTGCAAGCTTCAGTACATTCCTGTACCCCACAGTTGAGTCAGGTTCATGATTCCTAAAGTCGCTTCCTTAAAAATTAAAGGTTTGACTGGTACTTTTTGATTACCAAGAATAAATTATGGGGTTTTGTTTGTTTTCCTATTTGACAAGGTGGAGGAATGGATTTTAATTATTTTACAAGTAGAATGAGGGTTTTTGTTGGTTTGTTTTTTGTTATTTTTCCTTTTGCTGTTTTATTTTGTTGTGGGTTTAGGCCCAGAAATAGTTCACTGATTTGATAGTTAAGGTGATGTTTTACTTTTTTTCTTTCTTTTAGGTTGACAATTGCATTCTTTGCACTCTCGGGGCTGGATATGTTGGATTCCTTAGATGTGGTGAACAAAGATGATATAATAGAGTGGATTTATTCCTTGCAAGTCCTTCCCACAGAAGACAGTGAGTGAGTTTTTAGCATTTTATTTTTAGTATGATTAGCTGTTCTTGGTATGACATGCATGAGATTAGCAAATCATAGAATTTATTTGTACTCTTGGTGTACTTTACATATCTTTATTTTTCTTGTAGTTCAGCACCACTTCTGTGTAGATATAACACATAACTAGTATTGCCATTAACCTCTCTTGAGAAAGCAACTTAGTCATGGGAATTATATTGAGACTCACAAATACAGCTGCACACTGTGTTGTATGTACCTACATTAATGACTCCTTATTTGTATTTGATGTTTATATCTGACTAGTTCCTTAGAATTTGCTCTGTTTCTTATTCTCAGTCATAAGAGTCTAAGTCATAAGTTTTCCCATCTTCATAAAATTCTCTTGGTCAATTGCTGTATTTCTTAACACTTAAAGTTTTTTTTAAATAAAGTCTCCAAAATTCATGACTTTACAGTTGACATGTTTTGAGAAAAAGAAGTACACCGTGTTTCTTCAATTTTACAAAATATAAATGTAGTTCCGATGACCTGAAACTGTGGCTTGTTACTCAGCAGGTAAAAAGTACCTGCTACCAAGCCCAATGACCTGTGTTTGATCCCCAGGACTCAACATGATAGAAGGGAAGAACAAACTTTGGCTAGTTGTCTTCTGGCCTTCACACATGTGTTGTGGCATGTGTGTGGCCCTACACAGGCTTGTACACATACACCCAAATACATAAATGTAAATTACCACAATTGTAATTTATAACTTCAGAAAATGAATTAAAAAGTGCTTATAGTAGCAAATTAGTAGCAAAAGAGGTGTTCATCAAAATTAAAATATTTAAGGAAATTATGACCCAGTAAAAAATGCTGTGTAGTATTAAAATGATAAAGGGAGGCCTGTATATGTATTGACTAAAAGTCTGCCTGGCATATATGGTTAAGTGATAAATTGAAAACATAGAGTCAGCATGGTAGTATGTACCTATAGTTCCAGCTACTTAGGAACTTGATGCAGGAGGATTGCTAGAGGACAGGAGTTCTAGACTAGCTTAGGAAATTAATGAGACCCTTTCATCTGGTTTCAAAAGCAAATAAGCAAATAAACACAGATGTTTTAACAGTTCAGTCTGTAAATATAAATGAATAGAGAAAGCCCTTGAGAGGATGTATAGAGCATCTTTGGAGGGGGACGTAGATGGAGCAGAGGTAGGGGATAATGAGATAAGATAATTACTGTGTTTGAATCATCTAATAAAATGTTTCTGTTTTTAAATTTAAAAGCCATCAAATGATGAAAGTCAACAATTTCAAACTGAAATTTATGCAAATATTTATTTGCTAGTAGAATATTAATATTTTATAATTTTTCAAAGCACAGTCAGGTAGTTACTAGATTTATTCTTCATTTAATCCAGAAAAAATCAAGAGAGTATTTGGGGGTAACCAGCTGCTCTCTGATTGGATTTTAGGCCAGCTTCACAGGAGGAAACACATGTCTGGCACAGTAAATCTAGCCGGAGCCCATGCTTGAAGAGCTCAGCTGCCCCAGAGATGAATCTATTGTTATTATTCTGCTAAATTGACTTAATACCCAACTGCCCTCTAAATCTGTAATTTTCTCCCACTTAATTGGTGTAGCTCTCAGACCTCATCAGAGGAAGACTGGTCAAAGTACAGAGACTA